ATATAAAATTAAAGCACTTTGAGAGTGAGTGTACCTATTGCTTGAGGCAATCAAATCACAAATTAAAGTCAAAAAGGTGATTCTAGCAAGCTACTATCTTATGATACAAAGACGTGCACTATTAGCCAATGCATATAGTATTATATAATTAAGAAATACCATATGTGTGTATTAACAAATCACAAAATTTTGTCAGCTTTATTGAGATATTTTGGGATTTTTGAATTTTAAGTTTGACAGATTTTATGTTTAAGTTGGTTATTTAAAGATAATTATAGAGAGACTTTTTCAACCTTTTTTTGCTATTCCATTTGATTTTGAAAAACCAACAAAATTATATTATTCCAATTTATGGGACTTATTTTATTTCAAAATGAATGATACATTTCTATATTATGTAATAATTTAACGATGAATTGTCTATTTTATCCTTAATAATATGATTTAAGTCACATAAATTTCTATTATTCATTTTGAACCACTAATTTTAAAAATTTTTATTTTTCGACCGAAACTACTTTATATAAAATGAGACGGACGAAATAGTATTTTTAGTATATTAATTACTAATATGTTTATTATAAGAATTTATACGACTATCATAATAATTTTCTAAATATATGTTATAGAGTGAGTTGATAAAAGATAATGTGTATGTGAACCATTGATATGAAACTTGAAGATCATATATATTATATAATATAAATTAAGGCTAAGAGAGAGAATGGAATTTAGGTTGAAGTGGTAGGTATAATGAGGAAATTTATTAAGTCAAAATGGGGAACAAGGATGAGCACACTCCGGTAGTGGAAGATTACCAAGTAATAATGATGTGTCTCAATATAAGCCAAGCCTTAGTGGAACATATAATGAATAATTTCAAGACACAAAAATACTCACAAAATTATGATGGAGTGATAACTATTTGTTTATTCTTAAAGAAAGGTCTTGGGTCTTAATTTCCTTAGGTATATAGTCTAAGAATTGCTTATCTTCTACTGTGTGACTTTTCAATGCAAATTTAAATTTAATTGAATTCCAATATAAAAATTAAATATCAAGTAAAAATAAAATTATTATAATGATTTTGAGATTGATACATGAACTTTGACATGAATGGTGTGGTTTACATTATCTAGTTACAAGTGGAATAGTCACTTTGTAATAATTCTTTCCTATCTTTCAATTATTTTTTGCAAGTATAGACTATGTGTAGCTTTATATATTCACACAAAATGCTCTTTAATTAGTACATGTCACTGTGCACATGATATACGTGTTGTCAGGGTAAGACTCTACTACTTAATAACCCATTTTTAATCACTTGCTTCTAGACACCTTCATGCTCTACAAAACGTTTAACTTTTGGAACAACAAATTATCATATATTTGACCAATTGTTCCACATAAATCTATGTAATGAATGTTTTTATTTAGTTACATTATAACAAAAATAACTATTAGCGATATTTAATTCTTAATTATTGTTAAATATTTTTTTAGCGGTAATTATCACTCTTTATATATGTCTCTAAAGCCTTTAGCGACATTGGTTCTAATAGCACTTAACTAATGTCGATAAAGATGTTAGCACTCTTTATTAGTGTCAATATTTAATGCCGCTAAAAGTTATTTTTGTTGTAGTATTAAGGAGTCAATGTTTTTTTGTGAAAATCTTCTTTATGTTGACAAAATATATTATTTATGTCTAATATAAACAAATTACACGTTACAACACTTTGGTTGTACTACAAATTTCGGAGCAAATACATGGAAATATCTATTGTTTTAAGAAAAAATTACTTAACTATACGATCTTTCTTTTCATATTTTCTAAAGTTTCCTACCATTTCAAAATATTAGAAAAATTCCTATATTCCTTTCCATCTCTACTTTTCCATATACATAACTCACAACTCTTTAACCCAAAGATTTTTGTTCCTATTTTCAGTCTTGAAATCACTCTCACGGATTAGCAATTTGTTACTTTTTTTTTAATTTCAAATTTATTCTTTTTCTAGTTTATCAATTTCTAGTTCCTAAAGAGATAGAACTATTTTTTCATTAAATTTTCTTCTAGTTCTTGAATTATCGTTTAAATATTTATTTAGCTTTTTCATCTATAATTTTCTAATATCGTTGTTGTGTAGTGTTTATCCTGCTCAATATAAATGTACTTGAGACATAAACACTACCTAATATATAATTTATATGTATCGAGTTCTACAATGTATCTTCAATTCAATTCAAGTTTAAAAGGCTATATAGACAATACCAAATCAATTGTATGTTATGTATCTACAGTCTTTCATGATTCTTCAATCTTATCCAATTTCGAAGGTTATGTATATGTATATCTATATACTATCCAATAATAATCTTGATACATAGATCATCATGTTTTATAATTAGAGTACTACATATCAGTTTCAATAATAGGTATATGATACATAACATTGTCAATGTTTAACTACTTTATGTATCAAATTATGATATTTATTTTTTTAACCCTTGTATTTTAATTTTTATGATTCATTATGAAGCGCATTGATGTAATTTTCTACTACCTTTGGAAGAAGTAAAAAATCCAAATTGACAACCAATACAGATACATATTAATAGCTAATGTGTATCACACATATTTGATATACATTGATGACTATGATACATGAACATAAATTACTACTAAATATTCATTCTTTTGGCAACTAAAAATGGTATTTGATACTTAATAACTAGCACATACAATGTATCAATCTAAAATCAACTATCGGATACATCACAATAACTAATGATACAACTATTCACAAAAAATTGATTCCACAACATCTCGAGATCACAAATCAAAAAATTAACTACACAATATTTCTCCGTAATGAAGATAAGGTTCAGAATGAGCTTTGAGTAGATAATCAATACTCCACTTAACAACATTCTTATCATGACTAAGTTCACCACTAGCAACCATTTGTCTATCATATTCCAAAATACTCCATGACAACATGCCACGGACAAACTAGATTCATATATCACCGGAATCATTATAACTTCCAAGCAAATCAATCTGGAAAAAAATTCCTCCAAAAAATTAAAACTCAAATTCATCACAAACCAATCACAACTAAAATATAGCTAATTAATTTTATAACATACCCCGCAAGATTTTTCATCATTAATTTCAAAATTACTCGTCCATTTAACTCTCTGATTATGAGCAAGATACCCAAATCTCTCAGCTTCGTAAAATAAAAAAATTTCACTCAAAACTTCACCATAATTTTGCCCAGCTAATGCTACTAGAAGAACAAGAATAATAACAAAACTGAAACGATTTTCAATGAACACAGAGAAGAATTTTGAATCTCAAAATTTTTTAACAGGGTCGTCAAACAATTGTATAGGGATAAAACAACAATCGTCTCTGTAATGTATCGGATCTTCAGATTTTCCTCAACTCATCAATCTCCAAGCTACAATGATTGATTCAACTCATCTCTCTTTCTCATATTAGATTCTTGAATCTCTCAATAAAATAGATATATTTATGAAGTATCAACTCGATTTTTCAATGATTTTGAATCGAAATATAAAAGATTTTTAACAATTTGGGAGAACAAATTTAAAATTTGAATTTTTCTAAAGTTGTTTTGCTTTGGTAGAGACTGATTAGCAGTGACAATAAATTAATTACGTAATTTATGGATTGGATAGTTAATTTACCTATTTTTTCCATTTTAAGTGCAACAAAAAAGATTTTGTTCCCTTTTTTAGCTCAATAAACATATTTTTCTTGTATTAGAATTAATGTATACGGGTAGTGAGTTATATATCAAAAAAAGTAAAAAATTTAAGGGATTATTGTAATTAGAATAAAATCAGGGATAAAATGTAATTTATTCCTTACACTATGTGATTTATGTAAGTTATACTTTTATTAACCATGATTTGGCCCAACTTGAAATACCGTAATAATAAAAAATGGGGAGGAACTTAAATTTACAAGCAAAAGCAAACTTAGGATTTGAAGATTCTAGGTATACACTCAGATTATCTTAATTTTGGTATTAGTGAAACTTTTAATGTCAATCAATATATATATAT